AGAGAGAGATAGAAAGAGAGATATATGAAAGTAGGAAGAAGAGGGCAATCTCGAATTTCATGAATCATTACGTATACCAATAATACAATGATTGCTATTAACAAATATACTATCCATTTTTGAAAGTGAAAAATTTTTTTTTTATTTGAAATATATATTGAAACAATTGTAATAGTTTTTACAGAGCAAAATCATGAAATCTAAAAGTAATCAGATGACAGACACCCGTCACTTGAAATCATTGAATAACATACGACAGATGATGAGATTCAGGAAGAGAAAGAGGACCGGTTTTAAAGAAGAACAAAAATTAAAATATTAAAGTATGTAATAATTTCAATTCTTCTTCTCTAAGCAATCAATTCCTTCCCGGATGTAAAAAAGAAACTAATCGAAATGGCATAATATAAACAATACCCATTAATTTCCATCATCATTGATATAATTTTTTTTTTCTCTCCCTGTTTTAATATGATGCAAATTTTTGCACAAACTATAACAGTGTTTATTTTAAGCATTATTATTACTGCTAGGAAAAAGCAGAATTTTCAAAAAAAAAAAACAAAAATGTCTGGAAGAAATTAATTCCTTTTCATGTGTTTAGACGTATATTTTAAGCAATTAGATTGAAAAAAAAAACAGAAATAAACTTCGTTTGTATCAATTCAAAATTGAAACTTACAATACTGTCAATCTTTTTTTCTAGTTAGTGAAAGTTATCAGTTATCAGAAAACAATAAGATGAAGAAAATGTTATATGAATAAGCACAGTATGTAACTTTAAAATATACGGGCAAATACCGATCCAATCCATTGAATAATTCAGAATTAGAAATGACGAATATTAGGTGCAGTCAGTTAGATGTTCCGAAAAACCCAATTATCCAAATGACCTTCAAAAAAAAAAATCGAAGAATGACCGTAAAGAAAAAAGAAATCTATCAAAGGTCATTTTTTTCAATGAGAATACAAACATAAAAGCGAAGAATAAATCGATAAAAGAGTTCGAAAAATTTTTACATTACAATCAAATGTAAGCAAAAAAAAAAAA